CTTCCGCCTCAGCCTTCCGAGTAGCCGGAATTACAGGCATGCGTTACCACGCCCGGCTGAGTTTTTGATTTATTGTAGAGATGAGGTCTCGATGCCCAGGCGGGTCTCGAGCCCACGGGCTCAGGCAGTCCACTCACCTTAGCCTCCCAAAGGCGCGGAATTATAGGCTGGGCCACTAAACCCAGCTTGCTCAATTTTTTTAATCCCATATATGTATATGTCTTTTTCTTCCTTCCTCTTTCACTCTGTTCCAATCCGTTCTCTTTCTTTTTGTATTTATTTTAAGCTTTGTGTTCCTTTTTTACTTCTCTCAACTAGTTACATCATGGGACTTGATTGCATTTATTACTGAATTATATTTTAAAATTATTACTGAATATTATTTAAATATTTGCTTCCAATTGAATTTTCAAACAAATGAGCTAAATGCATTCTTTCTTTTTTTTTAAAGCAGGATTTATTGAGAGGACAGAAAAGCTTCTATAGTGGGAGGGGACCTGAAGGGGTTTCCCTAAATGCATTCTTTCTAAAGAAATTTAACTTGACAATCCTCTTCTTTTTTAAAAGGGGTTATGGGATGAATTTTTAAAAAATACTATTCTTACCATTTTAGGGATGGTGGCTTTTGGTCTTATTTTTCTTTCCTTTTCCCCTTTTCCTGTCTCTCTCTTTCTTTTCTGTTCTTTTAAAATATTTTAATCTCTGTTTTAAGCTAACAACTTAAACTACTAAGCAGAAATACATTTTGATTTTGGTTTTCCTTTTTTATCCATTTTATTAAATTCCAACTTAATTGTTCATTTTAATAGATTTTTATAGAGAGCACTTATTTTGTTAGTTTATAAACATATGACCCATATGTTTGGTAGAAGGAAGAATAACAAATGATACCATAAATCATACCTCTGGCAAGGTGGGGGAACAGACCATTCAAGCATAATTATTCTCTAGATGTGCTTGAAATATAATTTTTTGAGTCAAAGTATCAATATACAGGAATAAATTCAGTATTTAGTATCTTTTTCAAGTGCTTAAGTATAAAAGCATACATGGAAGTGTGTTTGTCAGGGGATCAATATACTTGAAGGCACTTTTTTGAAAATAATTTGTATTTATGTAATTATTTGTCTCTAGTGTACACTGCCATGGGGGACACTTTCTAGTCTAAAATTAGAGAGTCGAAAAGATAGTGATGATGGTCCCATTATGTGGGTACGTCCAGGAGAACAAATGATCCCTGTGGCTGATATGCCAAAGTCCCCTTTTAAAAGGAAAAGGTATGTTGGATTTCATATTTTTTTGTTGGGATGGGTGTTTGTATGTTGGAGTGTGTGTGCACATGTGTGTTAGTTGAAAATTGAAGGGAGGAGGAGAAAGTTTAGAGTGTAATTGGAATGTAAATGTAAAAATATCTACACATGCTGATATAATTTGCTACAAAATATAATATATAAATAAGACATGAGAAATATAGGCAAATGACAATAAATTATAATTAGGAATGGAAAAAATGTCATTTACATGGAGACATTATAAATGATTTTGGAATAAATTTAATAAGAAATATCCAGAACTTGTATTTTTAAATTTATTTTTATTTTACTAAATACTAAGCATGAACACCTGAATCAGAGCCTGTAGTAAGAAAACTAAAACATTTAATAGAAGATATAAAATAAGATAAAAACAAATGGAAAGCTCTACTGTGTTCTAGATTGGATTAAAATGATAGTTCTTTACATTTTTGCATTTTCATTGGATTTACACTCCCACCACTGGTTAAAATGATTTTAAAACTTTTCAGTGAAAGAAAAGATGAGGGAAAGTTTATGAGACTAGATTTTTAAAATTACTGTACAGCTCATAGATCATTGGAATGCAACAAAATCCAGGCATATATTTGAGGATATTGGAAACTTAATATATGAGATAGGTGGAAAAAGGAAGAGTTAATTAACAAATAATGGTGGCATAATTGGCAGTTTATCTGAAAGAAAACAAAGGCAGGGCTCTTACCTCACACAAGAAGTAAGAGAATTAAACATAAGCAATGAAACAATTAAAATATTAGAATAAAATAAAAGCCTGGAAGAGACCTTCCTAAACAAAACCAAATATATATATATATGAAACAACAGTATTGACTGGACTAAAACATTTGTAACATGTGGCAGACTAAAGTTAATGTACAAAAAGCATTCCCAAATATAAAACTACCCAGAAGAAAAATAGACTTCAGGCTGTTAAGTGTATTTTCAAAAAACTATGAGATATTTTTATCTATTATATCGACAAAAATTATTAATAGAGCAATATTATAGACTGGTAGGTATATGAAGAAACAGTCTTTTATACACTGTTGACAGAAGGTTGAGCTACTGTAATCACTTTGTGAAAGTAATTTGGCAGTATCTTATCAAATTTAACATGTAACTCTTTGATCTAGCAACCCTGCTTTTGGGAATCTCTCTCAAGAAATTAAAGCACTAAATATAAGTAAGAATGTTAGTTGTAGCATTGTTTGTGATGAGAAAAAGCTTTAGAATGGTCTGGATTCCCATCAGCAGGGTAATGGAAGAATAGTTGTTGTACATTCTTATTAAAGAGTATGATGAAATAGTTAAAATAGAGGTCTTTTAGTGTTTTTTGATTTGAGTGGATATCTATGACACTTGAAAAGAGCCAAATGTAGTATAATGTGTCTAGTATGATTTTATTTTTATCAGAAGAAATAAACAAAAAAGCCTTTGTGTAAATGTATATTTATGTGAGCACAGAGAAAGGTTTGGAAAAATGTACATTAGGTTAACATCGGTGGGAATGGATGAGAATGATGCCGGGGAAGATAATAGCTTTTTCTTTAGACACCTAAAGATAGTTTTACTGGTTTCAATGATTATTAATTTTTTTTTTTTTTTTTGAGTCTCACTCCATTGCCTAGGCTGGAGTGCAGTGGCACACTCACTGCCACCCCAGCGGTGACTCACTGGGCTCTAGTGATCCTTTAGCTTCAGCCTTCCAAGTAGCTGGAACTACAGGTGCACGCTACTACACCTGGCTAATTTTTAAAAATTTATTGCAGAGACGAAGTCTTGCCAAGTTGCCTGGGCTGGCCTCGAACCCATAGGCTCAGGCAGTTTACTTGCCTCGGCCTCCCAAAGCGCTGGAATTATAGGCTAAGCCACTGAGCCTGGTCCGTGATTATTAATTTTAAAAGAAAAATAAATAATTGAGTCAACTGTGGGTTGCATGTTGGCAGGGACAATGTTAGGTTTGTTACTAATGTGTCTCTAGCACTTAAATAGTCTAGTGCTCAATAAGTATGAATTGGATGAATGAAATGTGTAAGTAAATGTATAAGTTAGTAGTAAATGGTAAAATTAATGTGTTTCTCAGTGGTTCTTAACTTTTTTTTTTAAGAATTTATGATTCATGTTAAGAATCTGAAAACCTTTTCTAAGAACAGTACAGATATGCACAGATTTTTAGGTATAATTTAAAGGGGTTCACTAGCACTTTAAGAAACTTCCATTCACCTCAGGATATGCAACCCATAGTAAGTGTGATGATTTCACATCATTTTATAGTCTGGCCAGCTAATAACAACAGTGTGCCAGGTACTATACTAAGTGCTTTATATGTCTTAATTTATTACAGTGTAGTACTGATGAAGCCAAATTTGTGGACTTGAGAGCCTGTTAGCCTTCCACAGGAAGCAACATTATCTAGCTTTCTGACACAAAGAGTAAAAACGTATATTATAGCATTGTGTATTTGTGTGTGTAATAAGACTGTAATGCAGGGGTGCCCAAAGAGCAGTAAGTAATAGGGAACAGTAGGAGATTAGAGAACTAATAATAATAAAGAGTGACTCCTAGGAAGATAGACTAGGATGAGAGGAGACAATTATGGGGCAATCTGGAGTTGTCTCTGGAAGTAACGGAAAAACCATATAGAGGAAGATAAATAAGATGTTGACTCCCTGCAAAAATTCTCACCTTCCCCTCTACAGCAAAACTAGAGAGATTTCTGTAATGTGTGAGGCTAAGTAGGCAGCAGCTTCTGTATGCATATGGATTCTAGAAGGAAAGCAGTGAAGGAGAGTGCCAGAGGGAGATGGCTGTCATAAGACAGCTAAGGTTTTTCTGTATACTCCAATAAGCGATGCATGTTTTATGGAAGCAATTATTGCCTGGTGTGTTTTTGCTAATTTATTTTTTGACCTTCTCTCACTAGATTATAAACTCCCATGAGAATAGGAATCTCATCTGTCTTATTCACTAGCCCCAGTGCCCAGATAGTACCTGGTATATAGTATGTATCCTGTAAATATTGAATTAATACATTTAAAAAAGTGCCTGTTTGGGCTGGGTGCTAATGCTCATGCCTGCAATTCCAATACTTTGGGAGACTGAGGCAGGAGCATCGCTTGAACCCAGGAGTTCGAGACTAGCCTAGGCAACAAAGTGAGACCCTGTCGTTACCAAAAAAATTTAAAAACTTAGCTGGGGGTGGTGGCATGTGCCTGTAGTTCCAGCTACTCTGGAGTCTGAGGTGGTAGGATCACTTGAATGCAGGTGGTTGAGGCTGCAGTGAGCTATGTTCACATGACTGCACTCCAGTCTGGGTGACAGAGCCAAGCCTTGTCTCTAGGAAAAAAAAAAGGTTGCCTGTTTAATTCAGATATGTTAGTCAAGTGATCTGAGTGGGGGCATGGTCTCATACAGATTAGAACCAAGCCCCAGGGTAAGATTGTGGGTATAGGGGAACTTGGGCAAATGATACCATTTGTAATTTAGTTTCTTATCCAAGTATGTATTTTCCTTACAACTGCCATTTTTGTGAAGAGTGTATTAGAAAAATGAGGGGATTATATGTGTGCTTTTGTTCTTATTCATTAAAAAAAATACAACTTGATTTGAGATTAGGAAATTTAAAATCTACTTTTGTCTGAATTATGATGATTGGGTGTCTGATGGCAAGCAAGCTTGAATATATTAATACAAATGTTTGATGGCAATTAAACCTCAGTATATAAATGGAATTTTATTCTAAAAATACAGAACTACCAATGAAATAAAAAACCTTCAGTACCTACCTCGAACTAGTGAGCCCCGGGAGATGCTGTTTGAAGACAGGACAAGAGCTCATGCAGATCATATAGGACAAGGTTTTGAACGACAGACTACAGCTGCTGTTGGAGTGCTGAAGGCTGTGCACTGTGGAGAGTGGTATATATAACTACTGCTATTTTGATGAAAGGCTTTTTGGCTCCTAAAATTTTTCTTGGAAAGTTTGTTAGAAATTCCTCTTTGCTGCTGGGAAAAGTTTCATTTCCCCCCCTGTATTTGGATATTCTAATTGTACTAAAGATTTTAAATTGCTAGAATCTAGTGTTAGTCATTTGGGTTGGCTGAAATAATTAATTTCACTTTCTAAGTGACAAGAGGTGAAAAAAATTAAGGTAAAAGAAAAACCAAGGCTTACTTGGTGCTTGTATTTCTGTTTACAAATGTCAGCTCATTTAATTTTTCTCAACTACTAATTTATCCATATTTATCACATAAGGAAACTGATGCTCAGGGTTGTCAAATAATTTGTTTTTGTCATACATGTGATAAGTAGAGCAGAGACTGATTTCAAATCTGACTATACACTCGTTTTCTCTTCCTCCTGTTGTTTACTTTGTGCACCTTTTCTGAAAGTTTGGTATCTCTTTATTAAGGATTTGTTTGCCTGTGTTCAGTTTTTTCAGCTTTGCTTACAGGTTTCACTTTGAATATTTTAATAAATTAAAAACGGATTATTGTTTTTAATGTACTTGAAGTATCTCATAATTAAGTAATTTTCCATTTATTAAATTGATAAGACATAATAGCAAAGCTATATAAATTTTGCTTAGATTTTTGTTTTCAAATCAAGCATGTTTTGGTATGAAACCTGAGTTGGAATGTGCTATTTTACTTATTAAAGCAGATGCTTTAGATACTAAATAACAAGAACTCTTAAAAAAATTTTTTTTTTTGAAATTGTTTGTAGTATTGTGATCTTTTGTCTCTCTAGAGTATAAGTTATACTGTCTCCTTTTTCTTTTTTTTTTTAACTTTTAATTTTTTTATTTTAAAGATGTGGGGTACAATTCAGAGTTAGGTATACAAATGTTCATTATGCAGTTACCCTTGTCGATGAGGTGTGCCCTCCCCGCCCCAGATTCCCATTACTGTCAATCCTGCTACCCGCCCTGCCCTACCCCCGGCAATTTCCCACTACTGACAATCCTTTACTTATAGTATTACAATAATTGTTCAAGGTTCACTTATGAGTGAGATATATGTGATACTCAGTTATTTGTTTCTATGAAAGATCACTCAGTATTATAGACTAAGTCCATTCAAGTTGCTGTGAAGTTCATGATTTTGTTCTTTTTTATGGCTGCGTAATATTCCATCGTGTATATGTACCACATTTTTTTTTATCCACTCCTGTTTTGATGGGCAGCATGGTTGGTTCCATATTCTTGCTATTGTGAACAATGCAGCAATAAACATATGTGCACAGATATCTTTTTTATAGAGTGATTTGAGTTCTTCTGGGTATATTCCCAGTAGAGGGATTGTGGGGTCGTATGGAAGGTTGATTTTTAGATCGTTTAGGAGTCGCCACACTGTTTTCCTCAGCGGCTGTACTCGATAACACTCCTACCAACAGTGTAGAAGTGTTCCCTTTTCGCCACATCCTCTCCAGCATCTGTTATTCTTTGAGTTATTGATGATGGCCATCCTGACTGGAGTTAGGTGGTATCTCAGTGTAGTTTTATTTGTATTTCTTTGATGACTAGTGAGGCTGAGCATTTTTTCATGTGTCTGTTGGCTGCTCATATGTCTTCTTTTGAGAGCTATGTATTCATATCTTTTGCCCACTTTGTAATGGGGCTGTTTGTTTTTTTCTTTTCAGCACATTTGAGTTCTTTGTAGATACTTTCATGTTAGGCATTTGTGAGACATACAATTGGCAAATATATTTTCCCATCTGTGGGCTGTCTCTTCGCTCTCTTGATGGTTTCTTTGGCTTTGTAGAAGCTTGTCAATTTGATGAGGTCCCACTTGTTCATCTTATCTTTTATGGCATGGGCACTTGGAGTTTTGATCATGAATTGGTTGCCAATTCCAATTTCCAAAGATGTGTCCTGCATTTTCTAAGGTCCTTACAGTTTGAGGTTTTACATTTAGGTCTTTGATCCATTTAGACCTTATTTTTGTGTATGGTGATAGGCAGAGCCTTGTTTTTATCTTCTGCATGTGGTCAACCAGTTTTCCCAGCACCATTTACTGAATAGGTTCTCCTCTCCCCAGTGGTTGGTGGTGGAGGCTTTGTTGAAGATGAGTAGGTTGAGAAATTGAGATTTTGCTTCTGGAATCTCTCTCCTGTTCCATTGGTCTATATGCCTGTTCTTGTACCAAAACCATGCTGTTTTGATTATTGTAGCTTTATAATGTGTAAAGTCTGGAAGTGTGATACCTCCTGCATTGTTTTTTTTTGCTGAGGATTGTTTTGGCGATTCGAGGTTGTGTATGTTTCCATATGAATTCCTGTATTGTTGCTTCCAGGTCTGTGAAGAATGCTGCTGGTAATTTAATAGGTATTGCTTTAAATCTGTAGGTTACCTTGGGTAGGATGGACATGTTAACGTTGTTGATTCTTCCAATCCATGAGCATGAAATATTTTTCCATTTGTTTGTGTCATCTTTGATTTCTTTGAGCAGTGTTTTGTAATTTTCATAGTAATGGTCTTTCACGTCTCTGGTTAGGAAGATGCTAAGGTATTTGATTTTTTTTTTCTGGCTGTTGTGAATGGGATTGTGCTTTTTATTTGGGTTTCTGTTTGTGTATTGTTGGTGTGACTGTCTTTTGCACTTTGATTTTATATGCTGAGACTTTGCCAAAGTTCTTTATCAGTGCAAGGAGGTTTTTGACAGATCCTCTTGGGTTTTTGAGGTATAGCATCATGTTATCTGCAAAGAGGGATAAATTGACTTCCTCTTTTCCTATTTGGATACCCCTGATCTCCTTCTCTTGTCTGATTGCTCTAGCTAGGACTTCCAAACTATGTTGAAAAGGAAGGGTGAGAGTGGGCATCCTTGTCTTGTTCTGGTTTTCAGGGGAAATGGTTCTAGTTTCTGTCTATTTAGCGGTATGTTGGCTGTGGGTTTCTTGTAGATGCTCTTACTATTTTGAGGTATGTTCCATCTATGCCTAAGTATTTGAGGGTTTTTATCAAGGAGGGGTGCTGGATTTTATCAAAAGCTGTTTTTGCATCTAATGATATAATCTTTACATCTGTTGATGTATTTCATTACATTTATGGTCTTACGAATGTTGAACCAGCCCTGCATCCCAGAGATGAAGCCTGCTTGGTTGTGGTGGATGATTTTTGAGATGTGTTGTTAAATCTGATGTTAGGATCTTGTTGAGAATTTTATACCTATGTTTCTCAAGGATATTGACCTGTAGTTCTCTTTGTTGGATCTTTATCTGGTTTGGATATCAATGTGATGTTAGCTTCGTAAAATGATTTGGGGAAAGTTCCATCTTTCTCAATTGCCTAGAATACTTTCGATAGGATTGGTATCAGTTCCTCCTTGTATGTTTTGTAGAATTCTTCTGGAAAGTCATCTGGTCCAGGGCTTTTTTTTGGTAGGTATTTTTCTTATGACATGGTCAATTTCCTGAATTGTTATTGGTCTATTTAGGGTCTCGATTTCTTCTTGTTTCAACCTGGTGAGGTTGGAAAAAAAAAAAAAAAAGACCTCTATTTCCTTTAGGTTTTCATGTTTGTTTCCACACAAGTGTACATAGTGGTGTCTGATAATCTTTTGTATTTCTTTGGGGTCAGTCGTGATTTGATCTTTTGCATTTCTGATTGTGTTTATTTGGATTTTTTCTCTTTTTCTTGGTCAGTCTAGCTAAAGGACCATCAATCTTGTTTATCCTTTCAAAGAACCAGCTTTTTGTTTTGTTGATTTTTTTTGTATTATCTTTTTATCTTCTATGTCCTGAATTTGGACTTTTCTTTTGGTGATCTGGATTCTTCTGCTGAAGTTAGGGTTTTGGTGGTCTTGCTTTTTCAGCTCCCTTAGGTGATTTGTTAGTCTGTTAACTTGTGATCTTTCCATTTTCTTCATGTGTATTCATAGAGATATGAATTGCCCTCTTAGTACTGATTTCATGGCATCCCACAGGTTTTGGTAAGATGTTTCTTCATTTTCATTTGTTTCCAGGTATCTTTTAATCTCTGTTTGATTTCCATGTTGACCCAGGAGTTGTTTAGCATCATTCTGTTTAGTGTCTAAAAAATTTTAAAGTGTGGGGTACAAGTGGGAATTTACTACATAAGGCAGGCTATATCCAGGTAAAGTTTGGGCTTCTACCTGGTCCTCTCTCCTCCTGATAGTAGACCAGGTACCCATTGTGTTGCCAGGTTCCCCCATTCCCCCCCAGCAGTGCCCAGTGTCTGCTGATCCCACCCTTGTGCTGGTGTGGTGTTCAGAGCCTGCTTATGAGTGAGAACATGCCATATTCAATTCTTTGTTTCTGTGATAGTTTGCTTAAAATGGTGTTCTTTATGACTGCATAATATTCCATCATGTATGTATATCACATTTTCCTTATCCAACTCACTTTGAATGGGCATCTGGGTGATTCTGTGTCTTTGCTATTGTGAATTGTGCTCTGGGTATATTCCCAGGAGAGGGATTGCTGGATCATATGAAAGCTCAATTTCCAGCACTCTTTTCTAAATAAAAAGAAACTATTTAATTCTGAAAATAGAAAATGTCAGTATTATATAGTTGTCTAAGTTTTCATGAAAAATGTAGCCTTTATTTTCTACATAAGGAAATGTTATTTTCAAGGGCTTCTAACACAGTTGTTAAAAGAAGAAAACTTACGGTTATATTTTATAAATTAATAATAAATGGGGAGAAGGCCAGTATAAACTAACCTTTTTAAAAATAAATGAAGCATTATTACTTTCAGGTATACAGTATAGCTAGTATGGAACAAATTCTTTAGGATCCTTAGGAAAACAATATTAATAGTTTATAACAATAATAATTTACAGCTGAGTTGTGTTTAAGTTGAATGGAAGTTTTACCAACTTTCCATGGTGGTTCTCACATAGAGTTTCTATGGCCTTCTTATAATTTAGTTTAAAATACTAATTTTGTCAGAG